GACGCGTGGTGTTGTTAATCGTTATACAAGAGCTTGTGGTACCAGGATATCTAAAACATCTAACTCTAATATATCTACAAAATCCAGTATTCCCTTTTCCTCTTCCCGAAAGGTGCCCACAATATAACTGAGTCGAGCACTTGACTATATCAAAAAAGTGAAAGGACCTAAGTAAATTAATGGGTTCATACGGATCCCATGAGATCAAACCGGCTACAAATTACAACATTTTTATTACGGAATCATTTGTTTTTCTGCAAATATAGCAGCAGCCGTAATGTTAGTGCTCCAATTCAGAAATTTTTAACAAACTGAAATGCGTGACAATTTGGACCTCGAAGAATTTGTCTTCGAGACCAAAAAAATTTGTTTGCCCGAGAACATCGAGACCCATTTCGACAGCATGCTGCGCTCCAGACACATCCATCACCATCTCAATCACTGCCTTCCTATCTTTTTCCGTCATGCCACTATCTTCCAGTAACTAAAATAAATGCTGTATTACTAGAGATTAACATATGTTTCAAACAAAACTGTTTTTTTTTTTTGTGCAGAAAATAACTGTAGCTGGCCGGAATTTCCCAGAATAAAAAGAAGCGAATTGGAAAATTTAAGTTAAGAAGACTCTTGATGACTTTTTCAGGTAGAATACGGGAAAAATGCATGATTCCACTAAAGAGAGCTACGGAACCAAAAAATATTATTGTTAGCTTACATTTCAGCATTAACAATTTGAAGGTCATGCTCAGAATTTCCTCACATTTTATTTCCCGTATGTCTCAAAAGCACTTGGATTTTGTATTCGAGATATCTGTTGGCACGGCTGCCGGTGGGCCTATCTTCCGAAGACTGCCCAATGAGAAAAAATCAAATCGAAGATGTCGCGTTGACATGTGTCAATCCTAATTTGCCATCCAAACAAATCAGCAGAAGGTTTGGTTGCCCCGCTCGTTTCCCTTGAAATTATTTCGGACATGACAGATGGTGATTAATAATAAAGTAATTGTTGCAAAAAATAGTAAGACTAATTAGAAAAAAAAAAATTTGTTGACATTTCTTCGGAATAGCATTCGCCATTTTAAGTGACACTGTTGTCCGTTC